AGCAGCGGCAGCAGCAGAACCACCACCACAACTACCACGACTACGACCAGCAGCGCCACACCCGCCAGCACGGCGACCAGCACCACCACCACCACCACCACCACCACCACCACCACCACCACCACCACCACCACCACGGCGACCAGCAGCACCACGACAACCAATACAAGTACAGCGACAACAACAAGCAGCAGCAGCAGCAGCAGCAGCAGCAGCAGCACCACCACCACCACCACCAACACCACCACAACCACTACGACTACGACCACCAACGCCCCCCACCACCAGCACGGCGACCAGCACCACCACCACCACGACGCCGACCAGGGGCAGCACGGCGACCAGCAGCACCACGACGGCCACTACAACTACAGCGACAACAACATGCAGAACCAGCAGCAGCAGCAACACCACCACCACCACCACCACCACCACCACCACCACCACCACCGCAACCATTACGACTACGACCAGCAACGCCACCACCACCAGCACGGCGACCAGCACCACCACACCACCACCCACCACCACCACCACACGAGGGCACAGGGGCAAGCACGGCCGACCAGCAGAACCAACGAACAACTACTTTTCACACTGCGACAGCAAGCAGCAGCAGCGGGCAGAGCAGCAGAGCCACCACCACCACAACCATTACGACTACGACCAGCGCGCAACCACCACCAGCAGCACGGCGACCAGCACCACACACCACACCACCACCACCACCACAACCACACCACACCACCGACGGCGACCAGGGCAGGCCCCCTGCGACAAAGCAGCAGCACCAGAGCAGAGCTCAGCACCACCACGGCCACCACCACCACACCACCACCACGCCTACAAACAGCAGAGCCACCACCACCAGCACGGCGACCAGCACCACCACCACCACGATGGCGACCAGGAGCAGCAGGAGGACCAGCAGAACCACGACAATTACTACCACAACTGCGACAACAAGCAGCAGCAGCGGCAACAGCAGAACCACCACCGCAACCACTACGACAGGACACCAAGGAGGCCCGGCGGGACAAACAAGCAGCAGTTGCAGCCAGCGCAGCAGCAGCAGCACCACCACCACCACCCCCACACCACCACCA